GATAATAATGCCTTAGTCAAAATTGACTGAAGGTGGCCGTCGACATTTATATATATGTGTGTGAGTGTGTGTGTGTGTGTGTGTGTGTGTGTGTGTGTGTGTGTGTGTGTGTGTGTGTGTGTGTGTGTGTGTGTGTGTGTGTGTGTGTGTGTGCAGGTAGACCGATTTGCGGAAGTGTGCAGGAGATAATGAGCACAAAATGACTGGCAGACGACTTGATAGAGATAACTATATAGATAGACAAATAGATAGATATATTGATAGACAGATAAATATATATATACACACGTACGTATCTATATTTGTGTTTTTAGGGTCTCTCTCAACGATCAATTTCCCCCTGGTCTGCGTGAAAAGAGGGGGGAAACAAAGGCAGCGCCACCCGCTCCCACCCCCGTACACATTACCTAAAGCTACCTCGTTCAGCGCGCGGTGTGGTTTGACGTCCTCGTGTTCTTCGTAGCGTCGGAGCTCGTCATGCATCTTGTGGCTCTCCAGCAGCGCCTTCATCTACCCCTACAACACCTTCAGCCCCAGCCGAAGGGTGTCACTCTTGGGCTGTCATTGAGCCATGAATGGGGGGTTTATAAAGCATAACTGTGTTCAGCGGTATGATTTCCCAAATGGCGCCTCCAGCCCCAAAACCAAGAGAGGAACCACGCCGTCTGCCCTTGGGCCATTTCGACCAAGGTCTATATAAACTTTGGTTTCGACAACAGCGCCACACGAGCAAGAGCAAGGTGACCTCATCTCGACCCGGACTCGCCAGTGCATATTGGTGTTCCCACTCTACATTACCCTGTGTTATTTACCTGTTGGCTCCTGCTCTATGGTCAGCGATTTCATCAGGTTCTCCTATCTCTCTTCTCTCCTCTGCTATGTCTCTCTCCTTCACTCTTCTCGCTAAATCAGTGTATGTGTTTGGCTTTATATACATAGATAGATAATAGATAGAAGGATACATAGATAGATATAGATGAATACATACATGCATTTATATATATATATATATATATATATATATATATATATATATATATATATATATATATATATATATATATATATATATATTATATATATATATATGTGTGTAGTGTGTGTGTGTGTGTGTGTGTGTGTGTGTGTGTGTGTGTGTGTGTGTGTGTGTGTGTGTGTGTGTGTGTGTGTGTTTAATCAATTTATGTATGTATGTACGTGTACTTGCATATGTGTTCGAGTGCTTTTCCTTTCTTTTCATTTTCTATTTTATTGTCGTTTCCCTAAGTGATTGCCTCCACCCCCAGGAGTGACGTACCCCCTGAGCTCTCCCGCCCACGTGGTGTTCGACGGATGGATCGTGCGCGTGATTGCCCTCACCTGCCAAGGCTGCATGTATCCGTTCTACTGTTCTGGTGATACATTGGACCTGTCGCGGAGGCTGACGCAGGGGCTGATTAGCTCTGTTGCAAGCATGCTTCTGACGTTTCCATGCACAAGATCCCTCCCTAGTACAAAATCTAGCCTGCCCCCCGTCACGGGAGTATCACTGTCTGTATCATAGATATATTATATATTGTTCACAAAATGTCGGAATTCTTCGCCATTTTCAATATATTTCAATTTATATCTCCAATTGCATAATGTCTAGTATTGCCGTGATTCTGAAAGTTAGGCAGTGAATCAGTTTGAAACTTTTTGCACCTTGCGTATACATTGTAAGGAGAGAAAAAACAGAGGCTGTTCGGATATGTAAATGCTGATATTGCACATTATTGTCATCAGACTTCTGCACCAGCTTATGCGGTATGGTGTCACAGACATAAGTCAATAGGCCTGTCATTCCTGTGTTCGTATAGGAGTGGTACCCTCTAATTCTAGTGGCGGTTTTTATTTTAGTGGCTGATGTGAAGGACCCTTCTAAACAGATAACGTCAACATTACTGTTATGAATATAGTAGAGCAAGTCATTAATTCTAAAGTTAACACCACGTACATTCCATGAAAGAAAAGTAATTGTTTTCTTGTCCCCCAAATTAGCTGATGGGTCAGATCTGTGCTTGATGAAGCCCTTTAATATGCATGTCTTGTATAGCATTATATATTTCATTTGCTTTTTGTTTATTTGCAAAGGTTCTACTCATTTTCCTTATACTGGTGTTATACGTTTAATTCGTACTTGCTATAATTCCCCAGTTGTTTTCCCACAGTTCTTCCGTTTCCTGCACATCGACGGCTTTTTTTTCACTGTCGTCACCTCTTTCAAGTGATTCGTCGATGGTATAGTGCATAATATCAGAGACCTCATCCGTATTTTCAACATCACTGACATCATTAGGAAGCATAGTTTTCCTATCTACATTGTCAGTTATCCTTTTCCATTATTATTATTATTTTAATTCAGCAAGATCTTGCCTGAGGCTTCTTATTTC